CTCTACCTGCTCTTTCCCATGCATAATCCTATAAACCTCAATCATGTCACCCCTCAGTCGTCGTTTCTCCAAGCTAAAGAGCCCTAAGCGCCTTAACCTTTCCTCATAGGGAAAGTGTTCCAACCCTTTTATCATTCGAGTTGCCCTTTTCTGCACTTTTTCCAAAGCTATAATATCGCTTTTAAGGTGTGGTTCTAGACTGATGCTCTGACCACCACACCGGCCACCTCTGGGGGAGGCGACTCAAAACGGAATTTTAAAATCAACCTCGCAGCTTCAAATTATTTCAGAACGTCATCCGGTTTCAGGGCAGGATTTCAGGGCAGGTGAGGAAGCAAAGGCAGTGAACGATTGTGTTTTGACAGCAAAGATGCACGAGGAAATAGACCGGGTGATTGGCCAGAACCGGGCCCCGAACATCGAAGACCGGAACCAGATGCCCTACACCGACGCCGTCATCCACGAAGTGCAGCGAGTGAGCGACCTCCTTCCCATGGACGTGCCGCACATGGTCACGCGAGACACCGAGTTCAGAGGATACCTCATCCCGAAGGTAAGCCTGGGAGGTGTGGAAGCACGCAGTGTGTGGAGTCTTGTGAACAAAAGTTCTACTTTGTGAGCTCCTGGTATTAAAGTTGTGAGCGAGCGATTTGGCTCCTGCATAAGTTAGCTTGCTCTGGAGCCCCCTCCTTCCTGAGCTGAGACAAAAATGTGTGAGCCGGAGGCTAAAAAACAGTGAGCTAGCTCACACCAACTCAGCTTAGAGGGAACACTGCTGGGAGGTGTGGAAGAGTGCAGTGTGTGTGTGTCTGTGTTTGTGTGTCTGGAAAGGGTTAGCAATAGTTTCAGAATCTTGACTTCGACCTGTGCAGCCAACAGATACAGGTCCTTCACTTCGGATCTCCTTCCCCCGTCTGGGGCAGATCTCCCAGCCTTACCTCTCTCCCCAGCCCTTGCCTTGACCGCATCCAAAGCTGGCCATCCGGATGTCTCCGCAGGCCAGCTGGGACAGTCATGTGACATTCCCGGCTATCCAGTGACCAGCTGCATGACTGGGAGACCTGGGGAATGGGGTCAGTGCCCTCCGTGGCCGCCACCACAACCACTGCAGAAATCCACGGCTGTGGCAGGGAAGGGCCCCAACCCAGATAGCGCAGTACTTGGATAGGAAGTCTAGGGAACTGAAGGGAAAGGCGGGCAGTGGCAAAACAGCTCACGTTGCCTCTGGCCTTGGCACAAGTGGCACAGGCTGGCCCGGTCTCCCCAGATCTCAGAAGCTCAGCAGGGTCGGCCCTGGTTAGTACTTGGGTGGGAGACCACCAAGGAAGTCCAGGGTTGCTACGCAGAGGCAGGCCATGGCAAAGCATCTTTTTGAGGCTTTATTGCTCAGTAACAGCCGTAATGCAGAAACCAAAAGGAATATATCAAAAAGTAAATGACATTGTTATCTAATAATACGATGAGAAAAGCAATGATGTGTCTCATATTGGTTAAAGGGCAAAGTACCTCTAGCCTTGAAGTCCCTTTGGGGTTGCCGTAAGTCAACCGAGACTTGATGGCAACCCCCCCCCCATCAGAAACAGGGAGGGGGGGAGAAACTGACTGTCCCCCCTCCAAGGAATGAGGGGTGTGGGGTTCACCCCTCCATCTTCCTTGCTCTGATACCGAGGCTGCATCCTCCCTGAAACCTTGAAACTCCGGCTTCCAAAATTCCTTCTTTCCCAGGGGACGGAAGTCTATCCACTACTCACCACCGTCTTGAATGACCCCACGAAATTTGGAAATCCAAGACAGTTCAACCCAGAACATTTCCTGGATGCGGACGGAAGCTTCAAGAAGAACGATGCGTTTGTGCCCTTCTCCTCAGGTAAGCCGAGGGCCCCTCTTGCTAAGGAGGAAGATCGCCCAGGGCGAGTGTATGTGTAACATGGTCGTGTGAACCCTCCGGAGGTCTCACGCAGGAGAGGCTTCCACCTTAGCCAGGAGGACTAGCAGTCTTCTCTGACCCTTTTTTACACTGGGGCTTTCAGTTATTAATATTCATAAGCCCCTTTTCCGGCACTAAAGTGCCCAAAGAGAAACACCTGGTCAAAATGCCGCCCAAAGGCTGAAAGGTTCAGCTTGGCCCTGCGGTGCCAAAATGAGAGATCACGGGAAGAGGTGGAACTCCAAAAAAAAACAACATCTGTGATAAAAAAATAACAAAGAGTCAATAAAGAGAAGTTGCAAAAACATTTACTGAAGTATTTCTGTAGTTCTGTAAGGAACATCCTTCTGTCATCGCTCACATGCTAACGAATACTGCGCAATGTGAACATTCGTTTCGCAATATATACTTCATCTGAGCGTGTAGCAATCCCGATTCTTTATGTTTGGCATTTAGAATCTAGCTAACACATCGTGAGGGACTTGGGTCCTGTTATGAGTCAACATGGAATGTTTCCAGCAAGAGTTGATAAGTAGTATTTGATAAGAATCGGGATTGCGACACGCTCAGATGCGAAACGAATGTTCACATTGCGCAGTATTCATTAGCGTGTGAGCGATGACAGAAGGATGTTCCTTACAGAGCTACAGAAATACTTCAGCAAATGCTTTTGCAACTTATCCTTATTGACCCTTCGTTATTTTTATCACAGATGTTGTTTTTGGAGTTCAACCTCCAGGTCTGCCCTGGAGACCTCCTGGACTCACAGCTCATCTCCAGACGACAGAGGTCAGTTCCGCTGGAGAAAAATGGGTGCTTTGGAAGGTGGACTCTGTGAGACTGTGCCCTTCCCCAAACTTCACCCTCCCCAGGGCCCATCCCAAATCTCCAGGAAGCTGGCAACCCTAGCCCCCCCAATTCACCAATTCTGGAATACCTTGCTTTTGAACGGTTGCCAGTTTTATGCCTTTGATGCAACATCTGCTCTCATCATAAGCGAGTATCGTGTGAATGTGAGTTTACAGGGTTGTCCCCAGAAATGTCCCAGCCCAGAGCCTGCAAAGATAAAGAGATTGCCATGTTTATCTCAGCTGCGGAGGGGATGCTTGTGGGGACCGTCTGTGGCCCACGGCGCACACACATCTGACTGCAGAGATGGCGGACCTAAACAGCATGATAAGAAGTAGAGACATCACCCTGCTAACAAAAGTCCGCATGGTCAAAGCAATGGTATTCCCAGTAGTCATGTATGGCTGCGAGAGTTGAACTATAAGGAAGGCCGAGCGCCGAAGAATAGATTCTTTTGAACTATGGTGCTGGAGAAGACTCTTGAGAGTCCCTTGGACTGCAAGAAGATCAAATCAGGCAGTCCTAAAAGAAATCAACCCTGACTGTCCCCTGGAAGGCCAGATAATGAAACTGAAGCTCAAATACTTTGGCCACCCAATGAGAAGGGAGCACTCCCTGGAGAAGACCCTGATGCTGGGAAAGATTGAAGGTCAAAGAAGACGGGGACGGCAAACGATGAGATGGTTAGACAGTGTCATCGATGCAACGAACATGAAGTTGAGCCAACTTCAGAGGACGGCGGAAGACCGGAAGGCCTGGCGTGATCCGGTCCATGGGGTCGCAAAGAGTCGGACTCGACTGTGCGACTGAACAACAACAACAAAAGCCTTTAATCTTCACTTCTGATTCTGTGCCCACCTTACGAACCACTCTTTTCCCTCCGGTGTATTTATTCTGCAGTTACAATTTTAAAAATGCACTTTTGTAAATCTGGGCGGAATGTCTTAAAATCATTACCCCATTAGTTGATAGGATACCTGGTCACATTGATACAAACAAAGCAAGGCTTCAGTGGCTTCTATCAGATAAGAATGCAGAGATTACACACGCAGTTGCTGGGTTCTGTGCATTGATTCTTAGGTTGCAGGAGTTGCATTTTACAAGTTTTTAAATTTAGATGTTTACTCTGTAAAGTATCTCTGTTCCCCCCCCCCCTTTCTTATATTATGTTTATATTGTATGCTGGTTTTAAGACCGTAATAATAATAAAACTAAACTGGGTAGAATGTCAGCTGTGTGACGTGTGGGGGTGGTCTCCAAACTTTTTTGTTTTTTTTTAAATACATAAATGCCCTGTTGCTGCTGCACCGTAGCGTCCAGCAAGCACCTTCCATTTAAATCCTCGTGGTTCAGGTTTTGTGCATGCATTTTAGTGTTAGTTCCTTGAATGAAACAGAAAGGAAAGCAGGCAAGGGGGGGGGGGGAACCCACCATTGAAACTGACCAAACTTTTCCTGAAACTAAAAAGCAGCTGCAAAGCCCCTGTTTTCCATATTGCCAAGCGCTGGGGGATTCTCTGCTGTCTTATCGGCCACTGTGAAAAAGAGTCACACGATCCCATAACATGGGGGGAACACGTTGATTGTACAGAATGTGCAGTAGAACCCACTGACACTGGCATTGCAAGCTGTGATCACTGGCAATGCGTGTGTGCACGCCTGTGCAAAGTTGGCTGCAACTCCACCGTGCTTTGCAGAGGGCTACAATTTGTATGGGGGAAGAGTCCGCTGGAAAAAGCTCTGAAGAGCGTTTTTAGTCTTGGGCCACTAATTATTATTTTTTTAATGGGGGTATTTTCATCGGTGGCTCAAGTGGTTAAGACGCTGAACTACAGGCTGTGGAAGGTCGGTAGTTCAGCAGTTCGAGACCCGAGTTGCCGCATGACAGAATGAGCTCCCGTCTCTAGTTCCAGCTCCTGCCAACCTAGCAGTTCAGAAGCAAGAAATTGCAAGTAGATAAATAGGCACCACTTCGATGGGAAGGTAACAGCATTCCGTGCGCCTCGGTGTTTAGTCATGTCGGCCACATGACCACGGAAACGTCTTCGGACAGCGCTGGCTCTTCGGCTTGGAAACGGAGATGAGCACCGCAACCCTAGAGTCGGACTCGACTGGCTTTCGAGCAAGGGAACCTTTACCTTTACCTTTATTTTCATCGATCTCTAGCACAACTGCGTAGTAACACTGATTTCCTGCCCTTCCTTGCAAATTTGTGTGGTTTTCTCTTTGTGATTCCCTCATTGGATCCTGCACACTGGTCGTGATCTTGGCAGTTTTTTAAAAGCCTGTCCTGTGCGGATTGCACTCTGTGTTCCAAATGGATTGATCCCAAGCGGTTCATAACTTCAGCAGTTCACAGAAGGTCCATGTGGCTCAGCCACTATTTTAATGTTAGGCTTCCGGAGACTACCAAAGTGGTCCCCCCCACACACTGTGTTCACTGAAGTATTAAAGGGGAAAATGTTTTCAAAGCTCCAGGCTTCCCATCCTAGTCTCTCTCTCTCTCTCTCTCTTTACATCTCATGTCAATTTCATTTCACACTGACGATCACCCCATTTTTTTTTTAGCATGCAGCACTGAAATCCTTTTTTTTTTTTGTACTGGGGACGCTGCTGTTTGCCAGCAGGGAACTAAACCTCGCACAGCTCCTTTTAAACTTTTAACTTTTTTTTATTCCGCAGTCTGAGACTAGTGATAGTCTCATATCACTGGAGTTGTGCCACTTGTCCCCCCCAAAAAAAATTTTTTTTAAAAAAAAACAAGGAGGAAATGGAGCTTGTACACTGATGAAGGGGGGAGGGTGGAAAGTGCAGAGTGGGCATAAATGACCTTGATGTAGGTGGGGAGTGACCTTTGAGGGATGGCAAAAGGGTGTGGGGGGGCATCTGGGGGAATCTGTATACTTTTGAATTACCTTCAGCTTTGATGCAAAACAAGGAAAAACCGGCACAAAAGCACTCTCAGAAATCCCGGGGAAACAGCGACCTGAAAGTGAACAGAACGATGCAGGATGACAAAAAAACCTGACGGATAGCACATGTCGAAAGTGAGGGAAAACACCCGTGCATAAAATCCCTGTGACTGGTGCCCATATCTGTAGGGAAGGGGTCCCCAACGTGGTGCCCAAATGGTTTTGCAAACTGAGCAGTACCAGATTAGCTTTTATTACTGCCCAGAAGGGCTTCCGATTGGCCACTAGAGATTCGATTGGCTTTGGCAGCAGCCAATCGGGGCACAAAGATCTTCACCATGTGACTGAAGGCCAGCTGCAGCAGCCGATTTGTGACTGGCTCCGCCTCCTGCGGCAGCCATTTTGTGGCTCTGCGCCCACCACGCCGTGGTAGAATTCAGAAGGTGCCCACAGGCTCAAAAAGGTCAGGATCCTTGGCCGTACGGGATCACTTCTCCTTAAAACTAGCCCTCTTCGCAGCCTCCTCCTCCTTCCAGGAATGTGGGATTGTGCATTTTTCTTCTTCACAAGCATGCTCAATCTGAGCACACATCATTCTGCAGCCTCTCCAGCACATGACCCGCTCCGATGCCACAGGCGATAGACACGGGGTGCGCAGCCGGGAGACATCTCTGTGGGACTGTAGTAAGTGGGCGCGAGGAAGCTCGGAATCAACCACGCTTCTTCCTCCTCCCCACATGCCAGCAGACGGGCAGAAGACATGCAAGAGGTTTTTGATGAACCCTGTCGCTGCTCAGGGTTGCAGGTCTCTCCCCCCCCCCCGGCCATTCGTGGAGGAATGGGGAGGGGAGGGTTGCCAGATCCAGGTTGGGAAACTCCTGCAGATTTGGGGATGGAGCCTGGGGAGGACGGGGACCTCAGTGGGGTGTACAATGTTAGAGAGTCCGCCTTCCAAACAAGCCATTTTCTCCAGAGGAATGATCTCTGGAGTCTGGAGACGAGCTGTAATTCCCAGGGATCCCCTGGTTCCACCTGGAGGCTGGCCTCCCCAAGGGGGTGAAGCGGGATGTCACGGGACATCTGCCCAAGCATAGGTTTGAGATCCATGTGGGGGCAGGTCTCAGAAGACTGTGTTGGAGGGTTCCTGCTCTGCCCCATGGCTGTTGGCCTGTGGGGTCCTGGCAGGGTCCCACCTTATTCCCCTCCTCTCTCGTCGCAGGGAAGCGGATCTGCCTGGGGGAGGCCCTGGCCCGCATGGAGCTTTTCCTCTTCTTCACCACCGTCCTCCAGAGCTTCCGGCTGAAGCCCCTCGTGCCCCCGGAGGACATCGACACGACTCCCCTGGAGAGCGGCTTTGCCAACATCGTCCCCACGTACCAGATGTGCATGGTCCCACGCTGAGCGGGAACCCCGCCCGGAGCGTTCTCTCTCCCCTACGGCGCTCTCTTCGGCCGCGCAAGAAAGACTTTTGGAGCATATGGCGGCGGGGAGGGGAGAGAGAAGGGTGTCACAAATTGGCTTTTTAAAAATACGTCAACTGCACTTCACACAACTCTCTCAGGTTAGCCCTTGTTCCCACATGTGGAGCAGGTGTGTCGCGGGGGTTGTAGACATGGAACAAATCCCCTGTGTCCCACCCTATTGCAACTGTAATGAAGAAGAAGAAGAAATATTTGTGAGGCCTTTTTGAGTCTGGCCTTGCGTCTTAATCAACTGCGTACACGGTGAGCGATGTTTCTTATCATATGCCGTCCAATTTTGGTGCAGCGAGTACAGGTGCACACTGCTGATCAGAACTAATGTGCCATTAAAGAAAGCCAATTTGGGCTGGAACACGTCAGGTCGCAAGAGTTCCCATTTGTATACATTGCTGTAATGAGAACACAGCTAGGCCCATAAATGTTTTTAACCAGTTGATAATACATGTACTTCTCTGGTCTGGTGACAGAGGAGACCTAACACTACACAACCAATCAGAAGAAGAAGAAGAGGAGGAGGAGGGGGAGGAGGAGGAGATTGGATTTATACCCTGCCCTTCAGTACCCAAAGGTGTCTCAGAGCGGCTTACAAACGCCTTTCCCTTCCCCTCCCCACAACAGACACCCTGGGAGGGAGGTGAGGCTGAGAGAGAACTGACAGAAACTGCTCTTTTTCAAGGACAGCTCTTGCCAGAACTACGGCTTGCCCAAGGTTACCCAGCCAGGTGCGAGTGGAGGAGTGGGGGATTCGAACCTGGTTCTCCCCGATTAGAGTCCGCGCACTTAACCACGATGCCAATCTGGCTCTCAAAGAAAAGCATGCTGTTAGTTCCCTCCGTAATTGAGAGGATGGAGCGTAACAACAGGGCCACAGTTAATCACTCTTAGCATCCCACAATTAGGAGGGAAAGATTTACACATCAGTCTCCAATTCTGACATATTTGTTTGCTCCTGATTCCCCCCAGAATTAAATCCAAACAAATAGTGACCATATAAACATAGCTTGTTGTTCCTGTTTGGCCTTTGCATCTGTTAAAACATCTTCACTATGTTGTATGTTGATTTACTGTTCACCCTCTACCTATGCTTATGGACTGTTAACTTCCATTTCAGTGTATCTGAGGAAGGGTGCATGCACACAAAAGCCCAAACCTTGAATAAAACTTTGTTGGTTTTAGAGGTGCCCCACTGGACTCAAACTTTGTTCTACTGCTTCGAAACAACACGGCTACCCAACCTGGAGAAGAGACCGTGAACCCGATCTCCCTTCATTCTTTCAACGGGGAAGAAAACTGGTTAAGCTCTGTCCCCAGCCAAGGATCCTGCCTTTTCAGTCTGCTGCTCTTTGGGAAATAGTGCTTTGTTATTGCCCCGGTTTATAAGGGTGGGACCATAAAAGTCCAACCCATGTTTGCTCTCTGTATCTGGGGGAGAGTTGATAGCCGAGTCCTTGGGAAGGGGAGATAGACCGGAGAGAGTGAGAGAGTGAGAGAGAGAGCAAACACCCGGCCTCTTCACACTCGGGGGAGCAAAAGCAGCCCCTCCTTGGGCCCTGGCATAAGAAGGAGAAACACCTCCGTCTCACGGAACTGGGGTCCGTTGCCCAGTAGAGAGGAAGACCAATGCTTCCTGTCTAGCCAGGCAACATTTCAGACCACGGGCCATTTGAATTCAAAATCCAAAACTGGAATTCTTTAGAATTAGCTGTTGTAGATCTTCCGGGCTGTGTGGCCATGGTCTTGGCATTGTAAGACCTGACGTTTCGCCAGCAGTAGTGACTGGCATCCTCAGAGGTATAACACAGAAAGAGGGAGGACTCTCTGTATCAAGGTGAGAAGAAGAAAAATGGTAGGCAGGTCATTTATATCTACTCAGGAAGGTGGGGGTAGGGCTGAGTCATTATCTCGTAGGAGTTCCCCAGGCTGTGAACATGCTAATGGGAGGAGCTTTCCTGAGGAGGTTCTTTTGCATATGGATTGGCTGTTGAAATTCTAATCTTATCTGTAGTGCTGTTGTCAGATGTAGAGCCTTTTGTGTCTTTCAGGACAGGAAACCATGCCCTATTTATTTTCAAACTCGCTTCTTTCCTGTTAAAATTGTGTTTATGTTTATGAATTTCAGTGGCTTCCCTGTGTAATCCGACATGGTAACTGGAAGTGTTGTCCGGCCGTTCAGTGTCTTGGAACAATTCTTTAGAACTGTTGGTATTCCATGACTTGATTTGGACAGAGATCAAATTCAGTTTATTATTTGAAATATTTATACCTTGCACCCTCAATGAAGTATTTTTACACAAAACCAGCAAAGCTAACAACATAACCAACTACGACTACCGCCCTTCAAAATCTGGCTGAGGGACTGGAGGCCGTGGTGGGGGGGTTAAAAAAGAACAGGCTGAGACCAGTGTTCCCTCTAAGCTGAGTTAGTGTGAGCTAGCTCAAAGTTTTTTAGCCTCCAGCTCACATATTTTTGTCTCAGCTCAGGAAGGGATGGCTGGAGCAAGCTAATTTATGCAATAGCCAAATCGCTCGCTCACAACTTTAATGCCAGCAGCTCACAAAGTAGAATTTTTGCTCACAAGACTCCACAGCTTAGAGGGAACATTGGCTGAGACCGAATGTGATTAAGATGGAGATTCTGTGGCTGGGGGGGGGGGCTCGGGACTGAAGTCCAGGTTTCCAGCTCTTGATGGGGCGCCACTGACACCCGTGCCTTCTGTCAAGAGCTTGGGCATGACCTTGGATGTCTCCTTATCAATGGATAGTTCAGGCTGGATTTGATCCAGAACCCACTGATTGGTCTTTTGGGCACTCCACAGACAGTATCTAGAAATATCAGAGAGCCAGTATCAGAGAACCAGTTTGGTGTAGTGGTTAAGTGCGCGGACTCTAATCTGGGAGCCCTTCCACCAGCCTTTCAAGCTGGAGCCGTCACTAGCACCAAGACACCTGATTTGTTAAGGCCTGCTTGTTGAGAGCAACAAGAACAGCTAATGACACGGGTATGACTGCAAGAAGATCAAATCAGTCAGTCCTCAAAGAAATCAACCCTGACTGTTCCCTGGAAGGCCAGATAATGAAGCGGAAGCTCAAATACTTTGGCCACCCAATGAGAAGGGAGCACTCCCTGGAGAAGAAGACCCTGATGCTGGGAAAGATTGAAGGTCAGAGAAGACGGGGGCGGCAGAGGACGAGATGGTCAGACAGTGTCATCGATGCAACGAACATGAAGTTGAGCCAACTTCAGAGGATGGCGGAAGACAGGAGGGCCTGGCGTGACCTGGTCCATGGGGTCGCAGAGATTCGGACTCGACTGTGCGACTGAACAACAACAACGACAACAAATGGCCACAGTGTGCTCTTTACCATCTAACATTGCCTTGGAGAGGCTCCCGCACATTATTTATGAATTTGATTGCTTGTCTGAATTTTAGGTTATTGCTCTGTGGATGCATCTATGTTTCATTGTATTTATTCTGTTATATTTTAACGTAATCCGCCCTGAGCCTGCCCATGCGGGGAGGGCAGAACATAAATCGAAATTATAAGTAAATATAAATAAATAAATAAAACGGGGAGACGCTAGAAATATGGCTCCGTGACATCCCCCTCCTCCAGTTTCGGAACTCGGTGGCTGAGCTTTAGACGTCCAAGAAAAGGGAATTGGAGGACACGGCCTGGAGGCCTGGAGCCAAGAACTGTCAAATGGAAGCAACCCTCAGGAGGGCTCGGCCAACCAGCCTAGCCCAAGTCCCGACTACCTGCCCTGCTTCAATCCCAGCTCCGAGAGAGTTGATTCATAAAAATATCACTGTGTGAGTCCCCCCTGCCCCATAACATTGCGAGAAGCACCGACAATCAAAACAGCTAAGAGGCATCAAGCACCTTAGGGATCCACCTCACCACCAAGAGGACGCGGACTTGTTCTCTGGACTAAACATGCACATCACTGATTAACTAGGGAGAAGGCTCTTAAATTCTGCAGGAGTTTGTAAGATTAAACACACAACGTGTTTGCTCAGTGCGATAGTGTAACACCAGAAGGTGGTGCTGAACCGGTGCCTGAATAAATACATTGAACCCGGGCAAAATGAGTCAGGCGGCCACAGTGGGGAGAGAAGGAGGAGGACCAGGGGCCAAACATCCACCATGGAGCTGGCGAGTGCGCTCACCGTCCTCCTGGCCATCTGCTTGGTGCTCATCACGGTCAAGAGGAAAATGTCTTCCCATGGGAGGCTGCCCCCCGGGCCCACCCCCCTGCCTGTGATCGGGAATTTCCTGCAGATAAAAGCTGCAGAAACCTGCAAATCTCTCATCAAGGTGAGTTAAGAGAACCCGGGAACAAGCCGTGCAGGGAGGCATCGCCGACTCCATTCAGCTTCGAGGGAATTGCCGGGATTTGTGGAGGGGGACAGGATGCAGGTTTGCAAAATTATTCACAGGATGGAGAGAGTGGACAGAGAGAACTTTTTCCTCCTTCTTCCAAAATACTGGGACATCCAAGGAAGTTGATGGGTAGAGGGTTCAGGCTGGACCAAAGGAAATTCTTCTTTCCGTTAACGAGTGGTTAAATTGTGGAATTTGCTGCCAGCGAGTCTAGCGGTGGCCATGAGAATAAAGAGCCTTAACGGAGGATTGGATACTTTCACGGAGGAGAGGTCCATCAGTGGCTACTGGCCGTGGTGAATAAAGGGAACCTCCATACTCAAAGGCAGTTAGCGTCTGAATCCCAGCGCCAGGAGGCAACATCAGGGGAAGACCACAGCTTCTGTGCCCTGTTGTTGGACCTCCAGGGGAACTGGTTGGCCGCTGTGTGAGACAGGATGCGGGACCAGATGGACCCTCACTGGTCTGATCCAGCTGGGCTCTGCTTATGGTGTAGTGGTTAAGTGGGCGGACTCTAATCTGGGAGAACCGGGTTTGATTCCCCACTCCTCCACTTGCGCCTGGCTGGATGACCTTGGGTCAGTCACAAGCTCTGGCACAGCTGTTCTCGAAAATGAGCAGTTTCTGTCAGAGCTCTCTCAGCCCCACCAACTTCACAGGGTGTCTGTTGTGGGGAGGGGAAGGGAAAGGAGTTTGTCAGCCGCTCTGAGACTCCTTCGGGTAGTGAAGGGCGGGGTATAAATCCAATCTCTTCTTCTTCTTCTATAGCCTTCCTCCATGGAGGCCGCTCTGTAAGTGTCCGTGTGTATTTCTCGTGTGGAGCTTTGAGTTCTTCTCTTGCTGCAGGCTTCCGTTCTTCCGCCTCTCGAGGTGATAGTTGGGATATTTCCTCCCACGGCGAAGGCTCTGGGATTTCTACCACTTCTGCAAGCAGATTCGGCTTCAGGGATGGAACGCTTTGCATCGTGGTCTGCAATGTGAATAGGAAAAGAGTAGCAGGAGACAGAAATGGCTCCATTTTTAAAAAATAAAGATAAATCCTTGCTCTTGTTTCTTATGCAGCTGAGTGAGAAATATGGCCCCGTGTTCACGGTCTATTTTGGAAATCGTCCGGTGGTCATCTTGTGTGGTCACGATGCCGTGAAGGAGGCCCTGGTAGACAAGGCGGAAGAATTCAGTGGAAGGAAGACCATGCCCACCTGGGATAGAAACTTCCAGGGATACGGTGAGGCGCCCACCTCAGCTTCCCCCCCAAGCTTTGCTTCTGTCCTGGCTGCCGTGACGTCATCTGGGTCCCCTTCTCTCTAGGCGTGGTCTTTGCCAACGGGGAGCGCTGGAAGCAGCTGCGACGGTTCTCCCTCACCGTCCTGAGGAATTTCGGGATGGGGAAGAAGACCATTGAGCAGAGGATCCAGGAGGAAGCTCAGTTCCTGCTGGAGGAATTCCGGAAGACCAATGGTGAGAGTGCTGTGAGCCACGCCCCCTGGGGGGAGGAGTTTCGGGGCTGCACATGTCCGTATGGGCTCCCTTTGGAGGAGAGGACAGTGGAGACTTGGGGCACCTTTGTTGGACTTGTGTAATTCAAAGGTGGGGTTCAGGGGGAGGCACAGAGATACTCCTTTTGGAGGCACACGGAACGCTGTCACTTCCCCACCAAAGCGGTACCAACTCCCCATCAAATCTCCCGAAAGAGGGAGGGAGGGAGGGAGATTCTGTGCACACGCACACACACGTCTGCCACTGCTACGTCCAACTCTCAGCAAAGTCTGCCTTTTGTTGTTGTTGTTAGCCATTCAGTCATGTCTGACTCTGGGCGATTCTATGGGCCAGCTTTCTCCATGGTTTCCGAGCACGTTCTGTTTCTTTGAGTCGTTCCTTGCTCAGGCTGGTGTTGACTTTTATGGTATCTAGCCGTAAGTCTGCCTACCTCTCTCTATCTCCCAGGATCTAAATGCTGCACTTCCTTTTCACACTTGAGTTACCAAGTTTTTGGCCAGGGCTGTGCCTTCCAAAGGAGACCTTCACTTTATTCCCTGGGAGTGAACAGCTTCGTTGGCTGCTGCTTTCTGCCAATCCCAGTGTCAGCTAACCAAAGTTCCCTCTAAGCGGTGGAGTCTTCTTGTGAGCAAAAATTCTACTTTGTGAGCTGCTGGCATTAAAGTTGTGAGCAAGTGATTTGGCTACTGCATAAATTAGTTTGCTCTGGAGCCCATCCTTCCTGAGCTAAGACAGAAATGTGTGAGCTGGAGGCTAAAAACCTGTGAGCTGGCTCACACTAACTCAGCTTAGAGGGAACACTGCAGCTAACATTGCCATGGTGTGGAATGTGGGGGTGCAGGTCTGCTGTCACTCCCTACAACGGGCTTCTCCCTACAACGGGCTTCCCTCCTAGTGTGTGTGTGTGTGTGTGTGTGTGTGTATGTGTATATATATATATAAATTGAGTAGTGGGGTGGCACTTTCTGAACATTCCACACACCCCTAAATCAGTTGGCTCCATGATGTGTCACTCAGAAGCTGTCCCTATCCACTGGCCGCATTCCCTGAGTCCCACCCACAGAAGCGGTGCCCACCAAAACTTTCCTCAGAAGGCAGTTGATTTGCTCCAGTGAACACAGCTAATGTCTTTGCTCCCCTCGCCAGATGACGATTCGTTCCCTCAGGGGACAAAACCCACTGTCTTTAGCCTCCAAGCCAAGTTTGCTGAGGCAACACTTTCCACAACGGGGGGGGGACCCGCCAAGTAAACAGCTGTCAGTGTAGCAGAGGCGGGGGGGAGCCAGCCCAAGTTATCACAAAAAAGCCAGTGGATACACACACAAGCAGAGATAGAGGATGGGACCAGACACACGAAAAACAGGAAGCCGAAAAACCTGAGCCATGCTGCAAAGCACGAATACAGACACGGTCACAGGCAGATCTACATTTGCAGAATGCCCAGTTACAGAAATTACTCCACGGAGCCCTGTGTGCTGCATTTTCTGGCCCACATTGTGCGACCTTGGACACCAGTTATTGTGTAACGTACGGTATGTGAGACTTTACTTCCACATTTGTGCTTTTCTATTACATACTGCTAATATGTACTTAACCTGCTTCCTGCCAATGCATTCGTTACACATCACATCTTTCTAGAGCTCATTGTATTGGTTTTACAACAGGCTTTACTGCTTATATATACATATAGACACATACATACACACACACACACATATATATACATACATACACATACATACATATATACACATACACACACACATATATGTGTACATATATATATATACATACACACATATACATACATACACACACACACACACATATATATATACATATATAGATACACACAGACACACATATTCCTCCTCCCATGCAAGGAGGAAACGGAACTGCAGGTACAGAATACTTGTGGGGGTGAGACTGGAGGCTGTATCTTCCCGCTTGTGGAGGCACTGCAAAATGCAAAATGCTGGACCTTGAAAATTAGTGTTTTCATCTACCACCCACTATGCTCCGATGGGTCTTCTGAAATACGGGGCAGTTCAGCTATGATATTCACCTCCATCAAAAGGGAATTAGATAAGCATCTGGAGCAGAGGTCCATCAGTGGCTATTAGCCACAAGGTATAGATAGGGGCTCTGGGGCAAGTGATGCTCTGTCTTCTTGGTGCTTGGGGGTGGGGGGGCAACAGTAGTGGGAGGGCTTCTAGTGTCCTGGCCCCACTGCTGGACCTCCTGAGGGCACCTGGTATTTCTGGCCACTGTGTGACACAGAGTGTTGGGCTGGCTGGGCCGTTGGTCTGATCCAACATTGGCTTCTCTTATGTTCTTATGTTCTTATGAAGACATTCAAGGATTTCACAATGATGGTATCGCAGCTTGTTTGAGACTGGGATGGTTCTTATACAAAATTTGGTTATTTCCCTGTGCACTGAAAGATGGTTTTAAGCACACTTTACAATGACCCTCGAACGAAAGTGTGGCTCAGTGGCAGAGTATCTGCTCGGTATATGCCCGTTCAATCCCTGGCCGCTCCAGATGAAAGGACCAGGCAGTAGGTGATGTGAAAGACCTCTGCCTGAGACACCCAGTGTTCCCTCTAAGCTGGGTTAGTGTGAGCTAGCTCACGGTTTTTTAGCCTCCAGCTCACACCTTTTTGTCTTACCTCTGAAGGATCATTCCAGAGCAAGCTAATTGATGCAGCAGCCAAATCGCTCGCTCACAACTTTAATGCCAAGAGCTCACAGAGTAGAATTTCTGCTCGCAAGACTCCACAGCTTAGAGGGAGCATTGCCCTGAAGAGCCGCTGCCAGAATGAGTAGACAGGGTGGACCCGGATGGACAGAGTCTGTATAAGGCAGCTTCAGGTGTTCATTTTGTGTCCTCTTGCCTTCTCCTCTTCCAGAGAAGCCCTTTGATAACACCTACTTCTTGAGCCGCGCCGTCTCCAACGTCATCTGCTCCATTGTCTTTGGGAACCGCTTTGACTATCAAGACAAGGAATTCCAGGCCTTGATGGAGATGATAAACAACACCTTCCGGGAGATGAGCACCGCTTGGGCCCAGGTAGAGCCTCCCCCCCCCCCAAAAAAAATAGCTGCCTACCGGTGGAAGGAATCTCCCGGCTGAGACCGGAGCTGGCCTGCCTGGGGCCAGGTGCCACTTGGCAGAGATCTCCCATCCGTTCCAAATTTGTGCGTGTGAAACCCACCCGTCTTTCTTTCCTCCAGCCCCCTGCCCTGAGTCCCTCCACCCCTTGCTTGCCGACAGAAGCACATGGGTTCTCTGGCTCTGTTGTGTAGTGGGTTCGACGCACTGAAGAATCAGGAAACAGCGTGATTATCAGCTCATAATTTACTGGTACACAACAGAACAGAGAATACCAGTGTAAGCCAGATGGCCAACTATATACAGTCCCTGTGGCCCACCCCCAGGTCCCATTGGCGGGTTTAAACTTCCCACCAAAGTCCCTTGAGGTTTCAGGATCCTAGTCCCTATTGTCTCTTGAGAGTCAAGCTCTGGTGAACGTCGCTGTCGCCTAGTGGCGGTCAGCGGACATAACAGGCTCCTAGCTCCTTTCCCAGGCTTTCCTCTTACAAAATCAGATGTGGCACGCTCACCTCATCGAAGGTGGAATGTTTGTGAATATTCCATGATACCACAATAGCCCGGCTAATGGCTTGGGAAAAGATTCACAAACTGGGGGGATTTAACTCTTTTCTTTTCTTTTCTTTTCTTTTCTTTTGCCAGCATGCCAAATGATTCCCTTTGTGACTATGGCCTCAGGTGTCAACTCTGCTAAGCCCCCCCCCCCCCCCAAAGCAGGAACTGGACACCTACTTGTTTTTTTAATGAACATTTTATTTATTTTTCAAATATAAAGTGAACAACAACAAAGCCACATCACAGTTGGTATTAAAGTCGATGTTAGCAGTAACAAAGATGAGGTTAAGCAGATTACCATTACATTCAAACATTAAGCCATCCTGTGTTTACATAAAGGGTAAAACATCGTAAAATTTGCATGGAACGTTAAGGGAGGAAGGAATGTCATTACAGAAAACATGTCCTAAAAATGGAAACCATTTAGTTTGAGAATCATTAGCACCAGATGGATTATGCAGATATGAAACCTCGTCTGAGATCTTATCCATAGAATATAACTCCCAGAGTTTAGCATACCATTGCTAAAGTGTTGAATTGTTCTTACATTCCCAAGTGTTAGCAATGATTGTTTTTGCTGCTGACAAAACTATCGAAAGAAGTTCTCTCCTTATTTTGACACCTACTTGTTGGGGATATTATAGTTACATAGTTGTAGTTGCATGGGCAAGGGGGTTGGACTAGATGACCCTGGTGGTCCCTTCCAACTCTGAGGTTATATAAAATTGCACCTCACCTGCTCCTTGCCCCCTCTCTCCGCTCTTGCAGCTCTATGACATCTATACCAATATCCTGAAGTACTTCCCTGGCCCCCACAACAAGATCTATGACATGCTGGAAAACATGAGGCGCTTCATTGCCAAGAGAGCAGGGAAGAACCGGGAAACTTTAGACCTCAACTCCCCGCGGGACTTCATCGACAGCTTCCTCATCCAGATGGAAAAGGTATCCCTCCCTCCCCCCCCCCGCACATAGAAGGGCCCTGCCTAGCTGACCACAGGGGGGGGGACTGGCAGGGGGAGGAGTTCCCAGGCTGGCCAAGCGGCCGTCTGAAGACTCAGGTGGCCGTCAGCAGCTTTTCCGAAATGCTTGGCATTTGCGGCTTGCCAAGGTGTCCCAAGTAAGTAAAACGGCAGTTCCCTCCTTTAAGAGACAGTGGCTTGAACTGAGACTGGGGCTTTGCTGTCATCCGTGAAAGAATGTTTTCAGCTGTCGTGCAAAACCCTTCTGCAAACCGCCCATGATTGGGAGAGCAAATATTTTAACTGAATGAGCCAGCTTGCTCTGCAAACACACACACACGCGCACAAAACCACACACACTCACATAGAGTTGCCCATCTCCAGGTGGTGGCTGGAACTCTCCTGAGATTACAACTCAGGTAATCCAGGTAATAGAGATCAGCTCACCTAGAGAAAATGGGAATCTTGGAAGCTGGACTCTGTGGCATTTAAGCCCCTTGCTGGGGTGGCCATACGTTGGAAGCTCAGCAGGGTCAGTAATTGGAAGGGAGACCACCAAGGAAGGCTCTGCAGAGGAAGGCGATGGGAAACCATCTCTGCTTCTCCCTTGCCTCGTAAGCCCCTTGCTGGGGTGGCCATACGTTGGAAGCTCAGCAGGGTCAGTAATTGGAAGGGAGACCACCAAGGAAGGCTCTGCAGAGGAAGGCGATGGGAAACCATCTCTGCTTCTCCCTTGCCTTGGAAGCCCCTTGCTGGGGTGGCCATACGTTGGAAGCTCAGCAGGGTCAGTAATTGGAAGGGAGACCACCAAGGAAGGCTCTGCAGAGGAAGGCGATGGGAAACCATCTCTGCTTCTCCCTTGCCTTGGAAGCCCCTTGCTGGGGTGGCCATACGTTGGAAGCTCAGCAGGGTCAGTAATTGGAAGGGAGACCACCAAGGAAGGCTCTGCAGATGAAGGCGATGGGAAACCATCTCTGCTTCTCCCTTGCCTCGTAAGCCCCTTGCTGGGGTGGCCGTAAGTTGGAAGCTCAGCAGGGTAGGTACGTGGAAGGGGGACCACCAAGGAAGGCTCTGCAGAGGAAGGCAAAGGCAAACCACCTCTGCTTCTCCCTTGCCTTGGAAGCCCCTTGCTGGGGTGGCCATAAGTTGGAAGCTCAGCAGGGTCAGTACTTGGAAGGGAGACCACCGAGGAAGGCTCTGCGGAGGAAAGGAATGGCCAACTACCTCTGCTTCTTCCTTGCCTTGAAAGCCCCTCTCTGGGGTCTCCAGAAGTTGTCTGTGACTTGACGGCACTTGACACAAAGAGACAATAACTGAAAGGGAATCTGTCGAGGATGGGTGAGGGGGCGTCAATGTGGCAAATGGGGTTCAATGTGGCCAAGTGCAAAGTGATGCATACTGGGGCCAAAAATCCTAACTATAAATACATGTTGACGGGGTCCGAAGTGCTGGAGACTGACCGAGAGAGGGATCTTGGAGTCGTAGTAGATAACTCAATGAAAACATCTGTGTGTGTGACTGCAATAAAAAAGGCCAACACTATGCTGGGGATTATTAGGAAGGGAATTGAAAAGAAATCAGCCAGCATCATCATGCCCCTGTATAAATCAACGGTGCAACCTCATTTGGAGTCCTGTGTACAGTTCTGGTCACCACACCTCAAGAAGAATATTATAGCATTGAAAAAAGTGCAGAAAAGGGCAACCAGAACGATAAAAAGGTTGGAACACTTTCCCTATGAAGAAAGGTTAAAACAACCCCTGAGGGGTGACATGATCGAGGTTTACAAGATTATGCATGGGATAAAGCAGGTAGAGAAAGAAGTACTTTCCCCCCTTTCTCACAAGACAAGAACTCGTGGGCACTCCATGAAATTGCTGAGCAGTCAGGTTAGAAGAGATAAAAGGAAGTACTTCTTCACCCCAAGAGTGATTAACACATGGAATTCACTGCCACAGGAGGTGGTGGCCGCTACAAGCACAGATGGCTTCAAGAGGGATTGGATAACCATCTGGAGCAGAGGTCCATCGGTGGCTATTAGCTACAAGGTGTAGATAGGAACTCTCGGTATGGGGCAAGGGATGCTCTGTCTTCTTGGTGCTTGGGGGGGCAACAGTGGGAGGGCTTCTGGTGTCCTGGCCCCACTGATGGACCTCCTGAGGGCACTGGTATTTTCGGCCACTGTGTGACAAGAGTGTTGGACTGGATGGGCCTGATCTAACATCGTCTTCTCTTATGTTTTTATGTTGATCTTATCCCATTACTTTGCCTCCTGTTTACCCTCAAGACACAACTCCCTCTTCCACTCCTATCACGACCTGGAAAAAAAAACCCTAACCAGCAAATCTCCTAACAATCTTGTCTTCCTACCCCTGTTTGCCTTCAGGAAAAAAACAACCCCGACAGCGAATTCAACGTCAAGAACCTGGAGCTCACCACCCTCACCCTGTTCTTTGCCGGGACGGAGACGGTCACCTCCACCCTGAGATATGGCTTCCTGTTCTTGATGAAATACCCCGAGGTTCAAGGTATGGAGGGGAGGCCCGGTGGAATCCCAACACCCCCTTGGAGTCTCCCTAGAGCAAGTAGGGCTAGGTTGGAGTCTAGCAGCACTTCAGAGACCGAGAAGATGTTCAGAGTATGAGCTTTCAGGAGTCAAAGGTCAGGCCCATATTCACGGGGGACATTTGCAGGCAATGCCCCCCAAAAAATGAGTGCCGCCCCCTCAGACTGAAAATTCTTTTAAAAATCCCCCCCCAAAGTCAATTGTTTTTTTATAAGTTTAAGATGCATGTTGGGGTCCAAAATGACCTCAGGGACTGTAATTTTCCTTTTGGAGAGCCAGTTTGTTGTAGTGGTTAAGCGCACGGACTCTAATCTGGGAGAACCGGGTTTGATTCCCCACTCCTCCACTTGCACCTGGCTGGATGACCTTGGGCAAGCCATAGTTATGTCATAGTTATGTCTTTTTTATATATAAAAAAGAGCCGTTTCTGCCAGAGCTCTCTCAGCCCCACCTACCTCACAGGGTGTCTGTTGTGAGGAGGGGAAGGGAAAGGAGTTTGTAAGCCGCTCTGAGACACCTTTGGGTAGTGAAGGGTGGGGTATAAATCCAATCTCCTTCTCTTCTTCTTCTTCTTCCTTTTCAGGCCAAAAAATAAATAGGTTTTTAAAGATGCAAATAAATTAAAATAACAAAAAATAATATAAAATTGCAAACTGCAAAGGAGAGAGAGAGAGTCAGAGATCGCTCCCCCCTCCCCGGCTTACACAGAAAAGCAGCCTGGAATCGAGTCTCTCCAACTGAGAGGACTAGGGGAGGACTAGAGGTCGCAGTGGAGCACATACACCCCCGATTCTCCCACGCCCCCTCCACCAAAATTTTCTGACTAGGCCCCTGTCAAAGGTCCCTTCGTCAGATACCACCTATGGAAAGTACAGGAGGGGCTTAGCTCTGTGCCTGTCTGTCTCATGCCCCAAGGGGTTGCCACTTCCCAGTTTAGAAATGGGGCACGCTTTAAAAAAAATAAAAGCTCTCAAGAAGCCGAGACAAGCCTTCTCCACAAGAATGGCTGCTATTGGATCCCGTCAGAGAGGAAACGTCCTGTTTCCAGCACCAGCAGCAGCCAGTGAAATGCCTGTGGGAAACCTGAGAGCAGGGAGGAAAGGCAAAAGCCAGCCCCTGGTATTCAGAGATAGACTGCCTCTGCGCCTGGAGGTGCCAGTCAGCTACGTGGGGCATTATAAATGGTGCCTGAATCAGAGCAGGGGTCATTTCGTAGGAAAAGAGGTGCAGGCGCTCATTAGCATAACTTATTAGCATAATTTATTTTGTATATGCCACACCCCCTGACATCACCGGGAGTGTGTCAGAAGGCAACACCCACCGCTCACGCTCCACTGGACTGTTTTGGCTCGCTAGCTATTGGGGGGGGGGGGGAACGTGCAGATCTGTCCTCGCAGAGGAGGGAGAGCTTGTACCTGAATAAAACTTGGTCTTAAAGGTGCCACTGGACTGTTTTGGACTGGGGGGCTGGGGGAGCTCTGCAACTTACCTGGCTGCTTCTTGCTCTGACTGAGGGCTGTTGGGAGCAGGGGGTGGGGCTTGTTGCACGTGCCCGCCCCCTGGGCTCTTTACTGCCGGAGCTCCGCTCCTGTGCGCTCCTGCAGGAAATGACTCCTGAATCAGAGTGTGAGAGAGTTTCATTGCAAGTATTTTTTTTTGGGGGGGGGGATCTACCACATTTCTGTCGACCAAGTGTCCTTCCAGGCTGAATTTGTTTTCACCTCCTTTGCATCCTCCCCTCCCTCCCAGGGTCTCAGGCAGCTTGCATGGTTCTCCCCCCCCCATTCTACCCTCACAATGTCCCTATGAGGTAGGCAAGGCTAAGAGAGAGAGTAACTTGCTCACGGAACTTCATGGCTGAAAGAGGATCCGAACTTGGCCGTCCCCAGTTCTAGACTGGTGCTCTTACCACGACATCAGCCACCTCTGGATTTGAATGCGCAATTCACTTAAGTCAAGAGCCTTGCTGTTTCCCCAAGTTTGGTTTTAGAAAGCAGGTGATGATGTGACACATTAAGATGACTGCCTTGGCTTGCGAGGGGGGAGGCTACTCAAAACAGAATTTTAACATCAACCTCTCAGTTTCAAATACTTTTGAAATGCCGTCCGGTTTCAGGGCAAGGTTTTGTCCTCTGCCCTGGGTACACGGGAGGGGGAAGATAAGGAAGTGAAGGCAATGAATTATATGCAGGGATCATTTTCTGCGGGAGCGCACAGGAGCGGAGCTCCAGCAGTAAGGAGCCCAGGGGGTGGGCATGTGCAAGAAGCCCCACCCCCTGCTCCCAGCAGCCCTCAAGTTGGGCCACGAGGAGCAAGAAGTAGCGAGGTAAGTTGCAGAGCCCCCCCCCCCACTGGCCCACCTTCAGGTACAAGCTCTCCCTCCTCTGCGAGGGCAGATCTGCACGTTAACCCCCCCCCCATAGCTAGCAATCCAAAGCAGTCCAGTGGCACCTTTAAGACCAAGTTTTATTCAGGTACAAGCTCTCCCTCCTCTGTGAGGTCAGATCTGCACATTTCCCCCCCCCCCAATACCCCGAAACCCAAACCAGCCC